TATATATAGTATATATAATGAAAATTGTGCAGTATTAGTAATTTTTAGAAAAGTGAAACAGATTTGCACACAATAATGCAAGATCTTATGCAGAATATTACAGCAGAGCCGAATCCAAAACCTGAACCACCTCAACTGACTCCTTTTGATGCAGAGGAGCAGCGGCTCTACTTCAAGCTCCTCCCCCTATCTCTAAGGCTGACCCCGGCCGCCCTATGAGGGAGTTTCATTTCAGTCGCTTGTATCCAAACTTGATGAGGTGAGGGTTGAAATGTAGAAACGGCCCAGTAAAATGACAGCTTTGCTTTTCGACTCAACTTTTTTTTCACCTCAACCGACCGAAGCAACATTCTCATTACTTGGTTCGAATCTATGTCCCACTCCACCCTACGGCCACTCGTGAACTTTACACCCAGATACTTGAGCTCCTCCATAATCTGGTGTGTAACAATACATCGATCCATGTCGATATATCGATTAAATGATTAATGATTCAATTACATCAAGGCAAAATGAAAACATTGATCCATATCATCATCATATGCCCACATCAGAAACGATAACGCTTCATATTGATTGCAGAATTGTAGGCTGAATTGAATAAAAATTGTGTTGTGATATCAAGAATACAGATCAAGATACATTTGCTGTCTAATAGATTAGAAAAGTTTGTCCACTTTAATCAGTGACTATCTCACAGGTCTCTGCTGCTGTTAGGCCTGTCACCATAACAAAAATTGCTGCACGATAAATTGCCTCAGAAATTATCACGATAAATGGTAATATTGTTTCAGGACCATTTTAAATATAATGATCCACCCATACAAAGCTTATGGATAAATTTATGACATTTATGTACATAAAATAACCTAGACCTTTTTCATGAGGGCTGGATTGCTAAATAAATAACACACACCTTGAATTTGGTTAACATTTCTAAATAAATTTAATTTGCAAACACAATAATAGAAAGTAAGAGTGGGTGAAGGATATAAAAACACCCGGGGAAATCTTTTCTAACTTCCACATTTCCGCACCCTGAGCGTGTGGCAGAGAGCTTGAAACAAGCTGTTGTTGGTCTCCATCTCGTCCCAGTCCAGCTGCCAGCAGGTGGTGGGCCGGACCACCAGGGGCAGCCCGTACAACACACTTTCACACACTCCGTCTGCGTGCAGCACCCTTCAACACACAAAGGCAACAAAAACATGGGTTTACTCATTGAAACTTGAGTAAAAAGAGTCCAGATGTGACATCATCCCTGCCGGGCTTTTTTAAAATGTCAGCGCTGGGAACCATGAGTCAGATTTATGTAAAACACGGAGCACAATAACTCCATACACAGTTTCTGTAACACTGACACACTTATTCCAACTGTAACTTCAGAAATATGCAAAACTGATGCAAAAAAGGTAAATAAATGCAAATAATGCTTTCAGGTCATGAGTTTCTGCTTTGTACCACGGGGAATAAACAGCTCTGGACGTGTTGATGTTGTTTTCTTTGTTTTTTAGGGAAGAAATGCTGATTATTTGTAAGTAATAAACAAATATATTCAGTGCAGAAGTTTCACACGTGAGATGCAAAAACGAAACTAACCAAAGTAGGTCCAATCAGGTGGAGTTTGTGCCCTCATTTCAGAATCACACATCATTATATCTATAGAACTAGATAGTTATTGTTTATGCGTAATTTCATACTTTGCAAAGAGTAACTTTAAGCTTTCTGATGTGTTGGAAAAGCTGAGTTGTGTTGCGTAACCTCATCATTTTTAGTTAATGACATCTAACGTCTAATCTGGGAATATAATTGAATCAAATGAAAAAAGGACTTTGAGATAAAACCATAACGTGTTGCTTCAAACTGTATTTTGTGTCTATAAAAATGTAGAAATCTAGTAATCAAATGTTTAACAATAACATTTTTCTACTTTCCTAACATCTCAGCTGCTTTTATTGTTTTTACCATATTTACATATTAAAGCTGTGATCAAGTTAAGAAGAGTTCTTTTTGTGGCGTGGGGATTTTTTTGTCTCTGTTTTGAAGATATTTCTGAACATCAGAGTGGAACAAAGCGTCCTCTGACGTGAATGAAGAGTTTCATCCATGACAGACTCCACTACTCTCTGCAGTCAGAAAGAGGCCATTCATGGAGAGCGAAGATTTGACTGGAACGTCAGTACATGTTTCACTGAACTGAACACAAACAGGACGGGATGGAAAAATGGGAACAAGTGCTTTCAGTTATTATAATAGTAACTACTCTACATTACTACATGTGTGCTTTAGTATTTCTGTCAATAGAAGCAGCTGAACAGGAACAGGTCTCTGTCGCCTCCTCTCTTACTTGATTGCTCTCAGTTTCTGTGGAGTTGGACTTTGATTGCCCTGAACGACTGGCAGGAAGTCTCGAATGTTCTCCGTCTTCACACCCAGGCGGGGGGTCAGGGGGATGAGGGCGGGGCTTATCAGACGCTCCTGCATGTCGCACTTTACACACACTGCACAGATAAGGGAACAGTTTATATTGTACCTTCATATGTAGTCATAGCATGAATAGAATCGGTTAAAGTTCTGTGTGTGTGTGTGTGTGTGTGTGTGTGTGTGTGTGTGTGTGTGTGTGTGTGTGTGTGTGT